TGCTTATGTGGTAGCCTCTAAGGAGTACCAACTCGTGAAACATCGTTCGTGATAAGCGTGTGCTGTCTCTAGCGACCAAAATGATGAGAAATGCACCCGGCACAGTAAGTGCTCAAGTGTCGACACCGTAACCTGATTAAATGACCCCAACGACAATTATGAACAATTTGACTATGCAATACGCCAAGAAATCTGGCCTCGGCTGAGTTACGCGTCATTTACGTAACTCATGATGTCATTTATGTGATCTGCAGAAAGTCAACTCTCCGTCTCAGAAGTTGGATAGCTACTAACTTAAATTTTATTGACTTAATTGCCCCCTAATGGCCAGGGATCAGTTTTTTTATGATTGAAATCAGCATAATGAGAAACGCTTACAAAGTGACGCACTTTCATTCAGAAAGAATCTAACTACAATTGAAAGACTTTTAGATTCTCTTCCAGATGCCTTGTCTGAATGTTTGCAGTTATTGACTTCAGAGTACACGCTGATTAGTTTGGTTTTTCTATGTGTTTTAAACATCACTTGACCTGTGACTGCGGCGTTTCTGCTTCTGGTAATGTCGAAAGTTTCTGACACACGTGGAATGGAAAGTTCAATGTTGGTTTGGAGTAGCCCTGTTTTCATCTTCGTTGAATTTTCCGAATTGTACCAGAATACCTTGATTAAGATGTTTTGAGCATAGAATTATAAATGGTATGAGGAAGAGTAGAAAGGTAGAGTTACGTGACCCTTTGCGTACTTGATTATCTTAACATCCGCGCGAACTGAGGGCAAATGCACACCAACTGACCGGACAGCGCGTTTGCCGTTTGAATTTGATATCAGACACCAAATCACATACCAGTGTAATGATCTGGACCAGGAGTTTTCTTTCCAACGCTTGGTGTTTTACAGCATCTTCCAGTCGTGCTGTAAATACGTAAAAGTGGAAATCCAGGTTCAGGTGGAGGAGGATAGGGGCTGAGGATTGTGCTTCCTCACAACTTTCCCCTCTTGCTCTCTCTCAGAACAACCGTAAATGTCTTCACGATTTCCTTGGCTGCTGTTTTTAATCGTGAAGGTATGTCTGAACCACTGATCGG